TACTGCACCAAGCTTGATGCAGTATCTAAATTTGGATGCCTTCTAATTTTCTTTAACTGCATACTGATAAAACTGAATTTTCATGGATCAGCTGATCTTGAAATAGGCTTGTGGCTGTTGCCTTTGATGGACTCATAATCTCAGAGTTGCATTTGATTCTGTGAAGCATCCTATTAATCAGACAGGAAAGTTCTCGTCAGAGTAACTGCGGTATTTCTTCAAGCCACTGTGACCTACATTGCCTCACCGGGTTGGTTAGATTTTTTGCACACACTTTTACCACATATTACTGCCACAATTTCTGTAACGCTTTACTTGCTGTGTTACCTATCACATCCATTAAATACTTGTATGAGCACACATCTCGTCTGTCTGAATGCACAGCAGGGTCAGAGTTAGCCTGGCACTGACAAAACATTGTTTCACAAACCTGTACAATTCTTCAACTTAAAAAATAGTGGTTTCTTTTACATACAGAATCTCCTCAGCTTATTCTTTCTAGGATATTTTGCAATTTATGGACACCAAGACAGATAGAAGAAACAAGGTCCTCTGTATAGAGTACGCACACCCTTCGCTTGACACCTTTTTCTCTGAAGAAGGAATAGTGTAGTAATTTTTAATATTGCCATCAACAGCTACAGAAAAAAAATCACCCTGTTAAGATCTGCAAGATAAACAAAGCTGTTTCATATGAAGATTTTAAGGACACCTAAAACTAGTTTTGCAATCTACACTAAAAAGAAGCAATCAGCTATCTAGTACCAATTATTTTAAGAATTACACATCTAGAAGAGTGTTATTTGAAATATTTTTATAGAAGAGCAATTGTGCAATTGTGATGGTACATATTATCAAGTATGTACGTGTCAACTAGAATAGAAAGTGGAAATGAAGTGGTATCTACACTAGTTACTTCTAAACATTCATAGTAGCACTTAATAAATCCTATTTTTAAATGTCATGTTTTACATCTAGCTTTTTTAAGCAGTTTGATATTTTGTGTCTCAGAAGACTACAGCCAAACAGCATGCACAGCTCACCTTCCCATGCCACAATAAGTCATCTCTGCAGATTAAAAAAGGGCTATCCCAGAGAACACAGTGACCCAGAAGCCAAAGATAAGGTGTTTACAATTTGTTCCAAACATCACCTATTCAGCCACACGTAGTTCTTTATATTTACAGTCCCTCCTATTGCTCCGCTTAGAGTAGTAACCTGAATATGCCAAGAACATAGTGGGAGCCTGCTAAACATGGACTAAAATTACTCCAGTGTCTCATAGCTGCGATGGTTTAACAAGTGCTGCACAGGCACAGTGTGAGTAACAGCATTTATAATCAGTTAAGCTAATCATCCTTATCCCCCTCCCACAGCCCCTTCTTCCCCAAGGACAGATAAAAGTCATCTTCTAGTGGCTTTTGAGACACCACTGCGTTAGCCATTTCAACTGACAAGAGGTCCCATCACCCAGAAAGTATTATTTTGACAATTTTCAAGCTGTTTTGAAAATAGCTAGTACATGGATGTTTGCAGAAAGATCCAAGTTATTTTACATTATTTTAAAAAAGTAAAAATCTGTCTACCACTTAATATAATTCTCTCTTTAATCAGAGCCACATTATATATACTTTAAAACCAGCCTTCAGCTTGCTAGCCTAAGCTAGGTCCTCA